ATCGATTATCGGGAGGTACCGTAATATGGGGGGCTATACGAAGACGTGGGCCTGCACAGACAATTTTCTGTCATAGGCTGTAGCATCAATTATGAACATCAAATACCAAATTTGAAACTATTCCGCTGAATAGTGTAGCTAAAATCATCAAAATATCGATTATCGGGAGGTACCGTAATATGGGGGGCTTTACGAAGACGTGGGCCTGCACAGACAATTTTCTGTCATAGGCTGTAGCATCAATTACGAACATCAAATACCAAATTTAAAACAATTCCGGTGAATAATGTCGCTAAAATCATCAAAATACCAAATTTCGGGAGGTACCGTTATATGGGAGCTATACGAAGACGTGGATCTGCACAGACAATTTTCTGTCTTAGGCTGTAGTACCCATTACGCACTACAAATACCAAATTTGAAACAATTCCGGTGAATAGTGTAGCTAAAATCATCAAAATACCGAATATCGGGAGGTACCGTTATATGGAGGCCATACGAAGACGTGGACCTGCACATACAATTTTCTGTCTTAGGCTGTAGTACCCATTAGGCACTACAAATACCAAATTTGAAACAATTCCGATGAATAATGTCGCTTAAATCATCAAAATACTGATTATCGGGAGTTACTGTTATATGGGGGGCTATACGAAGACGTCGACCTGTACAGACAATTTTATCTTGTAAAGAAAAACAATTTTCCTCTTATTTTTCCTGGAAAGTCTCTAAGGAAAAATTACCAGGTTTTCATTTTTTTAATTAAATCTCCAGCACCCTCGCATCAGTGGCTAATGGGCTTAATGACAACATAAGTATTTTTTATACCTTTGTTTTTTTCTCCTCATTCATTCATTAGCATAAATGTTTGACGGTGGTGATGGCATTTGAAAGCCCCCCCCCACTCCGAGCTCCACACTCAAGTTTCCTTCTCCTCGCTATCTCTCTGGATACAACTTTAAAGAGTCATGGTAACAAATCTATCTCCTGTAGCCACTTAGTTTAATTTAAATCACTATGATTATGTCAAACAAGAGTAAACATCATAAACTTAACAGAAAAACGTGATCCAGAGTCATTTATTTCAGTTGGTTTCGAACCAAACAACCTAACCATCCGACCGAACGACCGACCGACCAACTCACCCGATTCCATATAAACATTCAATTAAATTAAGATAAATACCCTATCGACGCCATTCAAATGGTTGCCATGAACACTCCAAACCCAAAACAAATGGACATTTCCATGCCAAAGGAGTATTAACAGCAGCAGCAACAACAACCACAACAGGGAGATGGAGATAGATACTTTTCAAGAGCCAGGAAGATGGGAGAATGGCAAAACAAAACCCAACAACTTCAATTTAAATTAATTCCTCTACAAATAGTTAAGAAATCGAGATGATGAGAGCAAAGAAGAACAGAGGAGGGCCATGCAAACCATGGCAACAGGCTGCAGTTAGGGGGGATGGCCGGCCAGATCGTCATGTCCAACGAATTGGCCAAAAGTATCTTCACTACCGGCCAAGTGATTAACTAAATGACAGTTTGTTTTGCTGGAGCCGGCTAAAGCTACCCACGATGCTAAATGCTGATGCCTGATGGCAATAGCTTGGCTGGCTACCTAGCAAGGGGTCCCATCAACTTCATCACACAATCAACAAATAGAGAACAATTTCTTGCTCTATGCCCTCACCCACCCCCCTTTCCAAAGGTGGATGGCAGATGGATGGCCATTCAAGAGAACAGAAAGCCCATTAAAAGTCGTCAATGAAAATTAAAAACAGAAGAAAAAGAAAAAAACCCGCTGCATACGAACAGTAACAGCTTTAACACAAGCAAGTGGTCCAAGGAGCGCCAAAGCCGTTGAGCGAGAAATGGAAACTCTTGGCTCGATTTTCCATTCTTTCATTTGTTGAAAAAAAGTTCGAAAAAAAAAAAACAAAACTACTTTAAAGGAGGTAAAAGAAAAGATATAAGGCGGCTTGCAGAAAACTTTGATTAGATAGTTGTTGGTCCGGTTGGTCGGACGGTCACCACAGCCGCACAGAGTCGGCGAGCTATTGGAAATTTCTCCCCGGCTCTGAGACAATGTAAAAGAAGTGGAGGCAAAAAAAAAGGAAAACAGCTCCAATGCCATTTCTTCTGCTACCACTCTATTCTAAATGCTTTCTCACTCCCTCTCCGCCTCCCCGCCATCAACACCACATTGAACAAACAAACAGTAGAAAGAAAGATTGTTAACTTTGGCAATAACAATAATTAAAGTCAAAATGTAATGGGTCCATAAACTAAAAGGATATTAGCATTTTAAATGATTTTTATGGCATTTTAGACCAAGAATCGCCAAGCCGACGAGGAGGAGTGAGAGAACCGCGCACCGAATGCTAAGCAGCAAAATTATCAGTAACATAAAATCAACTCTTAAGGGATCTTCCACTCTCATCGTTTCATCACATAGTTTATGTTGATTAAATTGACGTTTTTTTTTTTTTTGTGATTTCGAAAAAAAAAACCGGAAGAGAAGAGAACAATATTGACATGGCAAATTGGCAGGTGGCCAAAATAAATTTAACCAAAATGGAATTGGAGAAATCATCAGATGGAAGAAAAAAAAATGGCAATAAGGAAATTTATTTTTAAAAAATAATTATGGGGGTGTTGAAAAAGTTGGGGAGCTATTAAATTGTTCAGCGAAGGGAGAGGAGGTGTTTTTTTTTCCAAGAAAATGCTAAATATGGAAAAAATTATTTAAAAAATTTAAAGTTTCTAAAAACATCTCGCCAAAAAAAAACAAGGACTTTAAAAAATTAATCTCCAAAATTTGCATTTTTTAGAAAGTTTTTTTTTTTTACACAAAGAGCAAAGTCTACAGAATTTGAAAAAATATGGAAAAAGAAAATATTTTCAAAAATAATTACTAAGGTTTTGAAAATCTTAAGGGGTTTTTAAATTGTTCATCGAATGGAGAGGAAGCAATTTTTTCCAAGAAAATGCTATATATTCAAAACTGTATTTGAGGAAAACAAAGGCAGATTTGATATTTGGCACAAAAATAGAAAAATCCACAATATTAAAAAAAAAAATAAATAAAAAAATAATTACTAATTTATTGAAAAAATTAAGGGGTGATTAAATATGTCGCCAAAAGGGAGAGAAATGTGCTTTTCTCAAGAAAATTCTAATATAAAAAAAAGATTTACATAAGAAATATTAAAATAATTTGGGCTCTTTACAATGACTACTTTAAAAAAAAATCTAATCCTCGAATTTTGCAGAAATTAGTATAGAAGATAGTATTGGTCCCCAAAAGTAAATTTTTAAACTAATGTTCCTATAGGAAGTCCATTCCCAATTAATTACGAATTACGAATTTTATTTCAAAATTTGGGCTACCAAACGTAGGCCATTTTTAAGACGACTTTTTCCGATGTTGGCTCTTTCACGGAATTTTAGACTTCTTCTCCAGAATTTTAGTTACTAAATGAGATTTTATAGATTTTTTCAAAATATATATAAAATATATAAAAAAAATATTTTTTTTTAAAATCCACGTTTAAAAATTCTTTGAAAAAATATTTTTTTTAAAAAATCCATGTTTAAAAATTCTTTGAAAAAATATTTTTAAAAAACTCCACGTTTATGGATTCTTTGAAAAAATATTTTTAAAAAACTCCACGTTTATGGATTCTTTGAAAAAATATTTTTATAAAAAATCCACGTTTAAGAACTCTTTGAAAAAATATTTTTTAAAAATCCACGTTTTAGAATTCTTTGAAAAAATATTTTTTAAAAATCCACGTTTTAGAATTCTTTGAAAAAATATTTTTTTTAAAAATCCACGTTTAAAAATTCTTTGAAAAAATATTTTTTTAAAAAATCCACGTTTAATAATTCGTTAAAAAAATATTTTTAACAAAATACACGTTTAAGAACTTTTTGAAAAAATATTTTTTTAAAAATCTTATGGATTCTTTGAGAAAATATTTTTTAAAAAATCCAAGTTTATGAATTCTTTGAAAAAATATTTTTAAAAAAATCCACGATAATGGATTCTTTGAAAAAATATGTTTTTAAAAAACCCACGTTTAAAAATTCTTTAAAAAATCCACGTTTATGGATTCTTTGAAAAAATATGTTTTTAAAAAATCCACGTTTAAAAATTCTTTGAAAAAATATGTTTTTAAAAAATCCACGTTTAAAACGTTTAAAAATTCTTTAAAAAAATCCACGTTTATCGATTCTTTGAAAAAATATGTTTTTAAAAAATCCAAGATTATTGATTCTTTAAAAAAAGTTTTTTAAAAAAAAAATAACGTTTATGGATTCTTTAAAATTTTTTTTTAAAAATTCACGTTTCTGAATTCTTTGAAAAATATTTTTTAAAACACCCACGTTTATGGATTCTTTGAAAAAATAATTTTTAAAAAATCTACGTTTATGGATTCTTTGAAAAAATATTTTTTAAAAAATCCACGTTTAAAAATTCTTTGAAAAAATATGTTTTTAAAAAATCCACGTTTAAAAATTCTTTGAAAAAATATGTTTTTAAAAAATCCACGTTTAAAAATTCTTTGAAAAAATATTTTTTTAAAAAATCCTCGTTTACGGATTCTTTGAAAAAATATTTTTTAAAAAATCCACGTTTAAAAATTCTTTAAAAAAATCCACGTTTATCGATTCTTTGAAAAAATATGTTTTTAAAAAATCCAAGATTATTGATTCTTTAAAAAAAGTTTTTTAAAAAAAAAATCACGTTTATGGATTCTTTAAATTTTTTTTTAAAAAATTCACGTTTATGAATTCTTTGAAAAATATTTTTTAAAACACCCACGTTTATGGATTCATTCAAAATATATTTTTTAAAACAACATTTTTCTAGAAAATTTCTGTTCCAAAATCGTTATTTTTCAAAACCTTTTTTGGTTTTTTATTACTTTTTTTTAATTTTCCACTATTTATTCCAAAACAAAACTTCTTTAACATTTGTCAACTTACCTCGCATGCTGTGGTCCAACGAAGCCGGTATCATGGGCTGAACTCGCTGTAATTTGAGCATCTGTGATTGCACCAGATTCCATGCCCAGAGGCATATTGCATGTGGCTGTAATGGAGAGGGAGAGAAAAAAAGAAAATTAAAAAATATACACAATGAAACATTTAACATTATTTAAAAATCAAAAAACTATAAATTAAAAAATATATATAAACAAAAAAAAAAAATAAAAACAACGAAATACAAAGAAAATCTCTCACTAATTAATTCAGAATGCGGACAAAAAGACATTAAGGAATAAAGACGAAGAAGAAGATGGAGAAAACGAACGCCTCACCCCAAATTAACACACAACAAAGAACACGACAATTAATTAAGAGAAAAATTTACATTTAAAACGCTAAACAGACAGAAAATGGAAATTCTTGAAATTGTCTTTCACAAAAGAAAAGCATCGCAACAGCAGACACAATGGAGGGGAAATTATTTCAAAAGACATAAACATAAATTTCCCTCACACAACATACAGTTGGCTTGGAGGGGGAAAAATAAGAAAAATCAAACATTGTATTTTCTTGAATTTATTAGTATTGTTGTTGTTGTGTGTGTTTTATTGTTGTTTATGTTTAGGAAAAAAACTATAACATTTCCATGTCAAATTTATCAAACTAACTGAAGCATTTATGAAATATTGACATCAACTTAAATCTTTTCTCCCCAATTTAAACGCTCGCTAAGCACTTGTCTTTGGAAGTGATTTTGTGAGATTTTGACTTTGACCACTGCCATTTATTATTGAATATTTTTTTTTTGACACATGATTTTTATTTTTAATTTTTTTTATTTACTGTTTTATTTTCATAATTATTTTTTTTTTCTTGTTTTTGGGTCCGTATGACACATGTTGCGTGTTGGAAGTGCATAACTACCCCTCATTGTCCATTAAGTAGAGGCGTTTCTTTGGGTTGTAAGAATGAAAGACTGTCTTTTTTTCCTTCCTGATATAAATTCTTTTTCTGTTGCATGATCGGGGTTTGCATGTTTGTCATTCATGCTTTATGCAAAAGACTTTGTATTCCATGAGACATGAATGGCAGAGACATACAAAGCTTTTTTTTTTTTAATAATTTGACACGATATTCCAAATAAGCTGGGGATATCACTAAGCGATCTTTGACATTCGAGATCTTTGAAAAAATTTCCACCAAAGGCAAGGCTTTTAAAATTTAGTTTAAATATCTAATAAAAATTAATAAATGGCCCTTAACCGAGGGCCTCAGACAAATGCTAAGTCCACTGTCTTTTCTATGGTTTTTGGGGGGTTTTTGACAAATACCGCAAAAAATTGGTCTCTAACCTAGGGCCTCAGGAAAATGCTAAGCCCCCTGTCTTTTCTATGTTTTTTGGAGAGATTTTGGCCAAATGCCCAGAATAGGTAGTGGGGAATAGTCCAGGGAAAACAAACACATGCTGGGTAATATTTCGTTTTTCGGAATATTTTTGACCAGATTCTCTATTTTTTCAGTTCGACTTGCTTCTGCTTCCTAAGTACAAAGTTAACTCCCTATTTTTTTAAAAAGTCAATCCAGAAACGTAGATTTTTTGTTTTATTGAAATTTTTTTGTGGGATATTCTATTCAAAATTTACGTTACCAATAGTGGAGGTTTTCTTTAGAGAATATTAGCATTTAGTCTCTGAAAGTGGGTATTTTAGTCCCACAAGCGCCCAGATTTTTGAAGTCCAGAAAAGTAGATTTTTATTATCTTTTGGATATTTCGGTATTTTTTCTCCGTTTTTTTAAGAATTATAGTCTATTATAATTTTTAATTTATAGTGTAGAAATATTTTTTTTTTTTTTTTTTGTGGGACAATCTCTACAAAATGTATGTTACCAATCGAGGAGGTTTTCTATAACTAATTGTAGCATTTTATATATGAAAGGGGGTATTTTAGTCCCACAAGCCCCTCGATTTTTGGAGTCCCCATTTGTGGGTCGTTTTTTTTTAAAGAATTTTACTATCCAAAAAGTTTTTTTTTTTTTTTGGTGGGACATTCTCTACAAATTCAAGATACCAATCGTAGAAAATTTCTGTAAAGAATTATAGTTAAATCTCCGAAAGTGGTCATTTTGGTGATTTTTCTCCCCCTTTGTGGCCCGTTTTTGAGAGAATTTTAGTCTTTAATCCTCGGAAATTTTTAGCTGTGTTTAAATATCTGAACACTGGTCTTTTTCCACAGAAGCTGGGCACCTATATGTAGGACTTTCTGTTAATGATGAATGTTGGCCGTTTCCCAAGTTGTTTTGAAGTCAATTTTGTCCCCAAACATTCGAACTTTTTAGAGATTTTTTTTTTGAGAATTTGATACATATAGGCTCCGTTCTGAAAAATTTTTAGAGTATTTTATCCCCCATGCCTTAAATTTTTATGGAAAAAAAAACTTTCAGTTAATGTTAGTACCCAAACTTTAAGTAGAGAATTGTCGAGGAATTTGAAATTTGGATAGAGAACCTTGGGAATTAAACTTGAGCCATTTTTTACAGAAATCTCAGGGACTTTAAGTTTCCAAGTGAGGGGTATGTAGTTCTAAAACGTCTAGAGAATTTCGAAAAAAATATTACTTATCAAATGTGGACAATTTTTTTTAGAATATTTAGGAAATCTTGAGTGCTTTTATAAAGATTTTATGGAGACCCGGAACGTAAATATTTTTCACTTAATTTTAGGTCGAAATCTTTAAGAACTCTTTAGAGAAAATTTTCAGGGAATCTAGATTCAAAACATTTACAATTTTCAAAAAAAAAAAAATAGGTTGATTTTAATTCCCACGCCGAGTACCTTTCTTCAGGATTTTTTTTTTTTTTTTGTTTTTTAGGGGATTTTAGTCTTCAAAAATGGCATTTTATTCGTCATATGTAGATAAGCGTTAGTCTCACGTTTTTTTTTTTTTTTTTTTTTTTTTTTTTTTTTGTCCCAAAACTTGGACCTTTTTTCAGAAATTTTTATGTTATTTTTTTTCTAAGACAATTTTAGTTTTCAAACAGGGTATTTTATTCCCCAGATGTGGATTAGTTGTAATTTCAAAAATATGTGACTTTTTCTTGAGAAAAATTTTGGGAATTCTAGCCCCTTAGTATCGGAAATTTTCCTCAAACATGGTAACTTTTCTATAGAATTTTCAGAGGATGTTGGTTCTCAAAAGTATGCTATTTTTATGTAATTTATCTTCCCCAAAGAATTTTGTCCACAAACAGGGAACTTTACTCCCTAAAAATGGGCTGCTTTCTAAAAAAAAAGGCCTAGGGAATTTAAGTCTTCAACCGTGGATATTTTAAAACCACATTTTGACAGATTTTCAATCGACTGTCCCAAATGCGGGATATTTCAGATATTTTTTGGATTTTAGTCTCCAAGCGTTAGACCTTTTCTGGAACATTTTCAGTGAAGTTTGATATGGACCTTTTCTCGATAATTTTCAGACAACTTTAATTCTTAAAGGTAGGTTCTTTAGAAAAAAACTCTTCAGGAAATTTGAGGTAATTTTTTAGAATATATTTTTTTCGCTCGATTTTTTCTGCGGAATTTTCAGTAAAGTTTGGTCCTTAAATATGGACCACCTCTTGATAATTTTCAGAAAATCTTAGTTCCTAAAGGTAAGGCGTTTAAAATAAGCTTCTCAGGAAATTTGAGTGAGAAATGTGGGTTTTCTTCTGAAAAATTGTACGAAAATATTAATCCGCTAATGTGAGTATATTCCCATGTAATTTTTTCTAGTGAATTTTAACCTCTACAATTCGCTCCAAAAAAAAGTCCCCTAATTTCCGTCCTTCCCCAAAGAATTTTGGTCATCCTTGCATCCTTTCCCTTGTAAATTTTCCTAGTGAATTTTATCCCTTAAAATTCCTCCAAAAAAATTAAGTCCCCTAATATCGGCCTCTTCTTAAAGAATATAAGTATACCTTATATCCTTTCAAATTTCCAATGTATTTTTCCCCCTACATCCCGGTTTCTATCCTTTTCGTAAAATCAGATTTATTGACATTTTATCTCAATCGTCTAACCTTTAAAATATATTAACTTCCAACCTCCATACCAATACTTGTTAGAACGAAAAAAAAAAAAATATTTATGGAATCTCATTAATTTGCTTGAACATGTTCAAAATGCAATAAATTTAAATTTGTATCATAGATATACCTCTCCCCCCCTTCCCCAATCTTAACATGCCAACATGAGATGGAATAAAAAGGATAAAATAAATGAATGGATGGATGGATACACCTAGAACATTATTGCAAAATATTCCAGAGATCTTGATACATAAATATACTCAACAACAAGAACGGGAGGAAGAAGAAGAAGATGCATCCGAACAACAACAACAACAACAATAATAATAATAATAAATGACATGAAATCCAAAGTGAATGAATGAACGACAATTGACTAGACTTGAGAGAATGTGTTATGGATAACCATCAGAGCCTGTCTAAGGTAATATATGTCTGTCAGTCGGAGTGTCTGTCGGTCTGCCTGTATGCAGGTTGTGATAGTAATCATTTATTAAGTGAACCCCGACCACATTGACTAAATCAGTTTTGATAAAAACTTATGCAAATGATTTCCGACATCATCGAGGAGAGCAAGCAATCCATGGCATTGTTGTGTCGAGAAAGAGAGAGAGAGAGAGAGAAAAAAAAAACGATTGCAATTTTAATCTCCAGCTAAAAACCTAAAGTGGTTCAACAGATGTGCCCGGATCTGGGTTTGGAAAGATGTTTGCTGTTGGAATGAAGCATCATGCCACAACACAATGAAAATGTTGTGTAGATTGTGGAGCAGACTTGAACATCATTGAGTTGAACAAATTATGCAGAGATATCTCATTCGGTAACCAATAAATACATTTCCTCTTCAAACTTCTTGCCGAACAGTAGTTAAACGTCACAATGATAGCATTCTTGTGGGGCTAGAGGAACATATGAACCTTTCGACTGCCTGTGAGTGAATTTCTGTCCCAACTCCATGAGTATTTTTTTTCCTCCTTCCTCCAGCTCGTCAAGCTTATCATCATCCTCATCAACAACATCATGCTCAATGAAGGAGTG